CCAGGTGCAGGGTCTGCAGGCTGGGTGCGGGCAGGCTTGCACCTGGCACGGGCACTGTAGCCAGCCCGTGCCCCTTTAAGTGGTCCGGGGCCGGGAGGGGGGCAATAGAGTTTCCCTGGTGTTGGCCAGAGTGGCCACCAGGGAAAGCTGGGGAGGGCTAGCCTCCCACTAGTTCGAATTAAGGGGCTACACACCCCTTAATTCGAACTAGCTAGTTCGAACTAGGCTTAATCCTCGTACAATGAGGTTTTCCTAGTTCGAACTAAGCGCTCCGCTAGTTCGAATTAAGTTCGAACTAGCGGAGCGCTAGTGTAGCGCCTATGAAAGTTAGTTCGAACTAACATCCGTTAGTTCGAACTAACTCTGTAGTGTAGACATACCCAAAGTTATCCTATCACATTCTCCCTATCATTCATTCCATGGGCTCTTTTCCAACCCCAAAAGATGGCTCTTGGACAATGAGATGTGTTTCTCTGTAGCTCTACCATTCTCTTTGCTATGTGCCTGTAGTAGGGATGTTAAGGACTAGCTGACTAGTTGCTTCCCCCCCCCCCCCCCCTCCTTCCTCTCTTCCACTTCTCCTCTCGGAAGTGGGGGGATACTTCAAAGAGGCAGCGCCACACAGAGCCTGGGGTCCAGGGCTCCATGCAGCACTGCTCCTTTGAAACGCTGTGGCAGCATTTCTAAGGGGCAGTGCTGCCCTATCGACTATCGAATAGCTGATGCAAAAATGCATCGACTATTCAATTAGTCAATTACATGATACTTAACAGCCTTAGTCTGTAGCTACTCTATTGTTCCCTCAACCTCTGGTTTTCAGTTCCCCTTTTTATGATTCACTCCAGTGACATGTGATTAGTGCTTATTAAGTGCTCAGATGACACAGAAAAAAGTGCCATAAGAAAAGCTAATGAACAGATTTGTGAAAATTTACATTAGCCTTTTCAAAAGATTTTTTTTTTTGTTTTGGTCATTTGTTTTGGCATGCCAAGTTCCTGCTGTTTTGGAAGAGGGCTGTGTTTTTGTGCAGTCTGTGCAGAATGCTTTGCAAAAGAAGGGAGAAGACACCATGTTGTGGGCTTGCCTCTCATGGCTGGAGACTAGGATTGAGGATATATAAAACGCTGTTACTTCTGATGATGTAAGATGGAGGTTCTACTTTAACTTTAACACCTAAACTGGTGTTTTTATATAGTGCCCTCAGTTTCAAATACCAGTAGAGGATAATTCCATATACTAAATCACTGGTACAAGGACTTCCAAGGCAATCACATTTTCCCAACTCTCTTTAACAGAGTATGAATAAATTTAAGAAATTAGTTACCATTTTTAAAACAAACTTTAGGATTTTTATTTTCATTACTGCCTTATGTCCATTTTCAAAGTGAATTATATATTATCTTAGCCTAGGGGAAGAAGAGTGCTGAGCATAAAAAATATGAATAATCAAAATTGTTAAAACTGCCACAGTTTGGGGACTGAGGCATGATTGTTAGGTTGGCACGTGCTTTATATTTTGCACAGTCAGACATCCTTACAGTTAAAAATTAAACAAGACTTATCTTGCATGTAATTTAGGAAGATCAGGCAATAAATGTTCTCACACCTGCCATTCAATATAGTTTTTCATAAATTAGCTAAACTGGAATTACAGCATGTTGAAATACCAGAAACAACTGTTTTTCAGGCTATGATTTAGTGCTTATCCAATGTGCTGATATGAAATGTGCTTTTAAAAAAAATCAATGCACATTACAAATTAAACTTATTTCTATCTCTTTTTATACTACATGGTTAAATCAGAAATCATTCATGGTCTGTTATCAAATGTATGTGTAAACATACCTGCCAATTCCAGCACACAAATTCATTTTAGTTGTAGCTTTTCTCTCTGCAGCCAAAAGCTAGCTCCTTCCTCAGAGAGAGAAGGTCAAACATGGCATGAAACAGATTTGTAAAATTCAGCTCGCTCACTTATCTAAGGCACATTTTTTTGAAAGATAAGCAATAATATCATTAGCTCTCTCTCTCATCACCATCCATTAGCACATGGTGACACAGTAGCTCCCTCCCCCCTTTTCCCATTTCTGTCATTTACTGGGGCTGGCAAGACTTGTGAAAATTCTGAAAGGCTGGCATAATAAGGAACAATAAGGACGTTAATAATATCTCAACTTGCACAGATAACTACCATCTATCTTTTTGTTTTAACAGCAACTGGTAAAAGCGCCAGGTCAGTATCACTGCCATGTGGCCAGAACACTAGATTGAACCTTGACAAACACTTCCGATATCTAGCATCTCTAGTAATCAGTTATTTTAGTAATCCTGAAGCTGCAACAATTTTTGAAAGTAGGAATAAGGGATCTTCCGGAAAAGGGCTTATTTTACGGAGAATCGCGTCTACACTGGCGCTTTTCTCCGGCAAAAACCCTGAGCCGGAAAAAAGCGCCAGCCATGTAAATGCAAATGCCGCGGGGGATACTTAAATCCCCCGCGGATTTGCAATTCCGAAGTGTCTCATTAGCATCCCTTTTCCGGAAAGGGATGCCAATGTAGACACAGCCAGAGGGTGTGGGGCCCCTAATGGATGAAGGAGGTAACCTAGTGACAGATGAAGTTGGGAAAGCTGAAGTACTCAATGCCTTCTTTGCCTCTGTATTCACGG